GAATTGAGGCTAAAGTTGATTGACAAGTAACCTAAATTCCTCACCCTCGACTATTCTAAAAAGTTGTTCATCTAAAATCATAAACTTGGCAATAGCTTTTCTTCAAGCTTCTAAATTGAATCTTAGGCTGGCCACACCTAACACATTACTATTAGACTCAAAAGTCAGAACGGTTTGATTTGGATCACTAATAAGGACATGTGTGTATTTACGACAAGTATGAAGGTAACTTTCCAAGCTAGATGTTTCATGAATTTTAGAGTGACAATAGAAGATTTTTTTTTTTACAATAGTTGCATGTAGCTTGGGGAATGTCATCATCATTTGCTAGAGGTAGTTTGGTGAAATGACCCCAAACATCTGAAGTCAATTTGGGAGCAATTGCATTTGCTCTCCTCTTCTCGCTAGAGCATTTGGAAGATAAACACTTACATTTGCTCTCCTCTTGTTCATAGGAGCACTTGCATTTATTGGATTTTCACCATGATTTACCAGGTTGATGTAGAACTAGTGGAAACACCCAATTAGTTTATTAGCTGTTGGTTTCAAGAGGCATGTGCTGACCAGACTCCGCTATTTTGTTTCAATGGAAGAAGCTTAGGAAAACAACTACTAGTTATATTTAGGTGTTGACTAACATTACTTAAAGTTTTATCAATTATTAAAAAATTCTTATGTATTCATAACTCATCACTGATCTTAGGTATGTTGTTAGCTCACAATAACTATCTTAGAAGCCATCAATTAACTAACAACGAGAGGAAGAGGGAAAGAGAAGGTAGGATAGGCAGGTAGAAATTTCATAAAATATCATTGATTACAAATATATTAAGAACTTGCAGCATACATAACACACATAAAAATATTAAGCTGCAGCCATCATTGATTAGGGAGAGAAAAGCAGGTATTAAGACATGACAAGATCTTAGAAAACATCATCAATCAAAGAGAGATTAAGTTCTCAGAAACTATCATTAAACAAACAATAAAGAAAGAAGGGGCAAAATAGGCAGGTGAATGAAAATCTCAGAAAACATCATTGATTAGATTGAGAATAAAGGCATTAAGCATACATACATAGAATCAAAGCAATAGCCATTATACATCAAAGAGACAACAACATGCAATGATCTCAGAGAATACCTGCTTAGGGTTCCATGACTAAGAGTCTCTAAGATGAAAAACCCTAGCAAAGCACTTAGTTAGGAATGAAATCGAAGATAGGAGAAGAGAGAAAAAGAGCTAAGGTTCTATGACTAAGAGTTTGAGAAATGAAAAACCTTAGTCTTGTTGTTTACAAGCCAACTTTTTTTATTTTAATTTTTTTTGTTTGAAGCTTTTAATATTGTTTTTAAAACAATGTTAACAAACAAGTCTTTATGTTTTTTTTTCAAAAAGCTATTTTACAAAATAATTTCAAAACAATTAATAAAATGAGAATAGAATAAAATAGACCCTTAATTTTTCATCTCTAATTCTCGTATCCTTTCATTCACTTTATAATTAATCTTGTTATAAGAAAATAAAAAATTACAAACTAATTTTCTTTCATGACAAAATTAGCCATCAGTTAGTCCTTTGAAATTTATCAATATCAATTATTTTTACAATTGCAAATAATTTTTACTTGTTAGTAATTACAAAGTTTCTGTAGTATCTTTTCAGTTTGAGTCAAAATTTTCTTGTGCAAATCATAAATATTTTAAGATAACATTTAAAGTTTTTATTTCTTTCTTAAAATAAGGATTCTCAAAAATTTGGGACCCATTCAAACTTGAGCAAATAAAAAATTTCAATTTGATCAGCTGTTTTTTTTTTTTTTAAATTTTCATCCATGAGAAGCCAAATTGACCAAGTATTCTCCATATATTTACATGTGAAGTCTTTGTTTTACATTGCCTACCTAGCAATCAAAATAAAGTATTAGCATAGCTACTCAACTAGCATCATTACATATTTTATACATGCATGATACACTAAGTTTTACTTGCTTCAACTCACTCGTCCAACAACTCATTTTAACCGAGTTCTACTTAACCTGACGAAGTTCATAGAAACAACTCATCAGATTATAGCATGAAATTATTTTAGGTTTAGATTTTTGAATATGAAGTTGACTAAAATCAACCTCTTCTTAGCCTTAATTTGAAATATTAGATGACTGGTTTTATATACCATATGACTTTGTATTTGTAAGTTTTCAAAAAAATTTAGAACTTCAAGAAACACAATTCATCTCCATTTTTACATTTTTGTGTGCTCTTCTATAGTAATTAAATGCCACAAATGGTAAGGTGGAAGTTAATTGAAATTGGAGTTTTGTTTGAAAGGGAGAGAAGTTGTTGATTTGGACGATAAGAAAGGAGTAGAGGATGGATGGAGAATAAGAGTTACTATAGAAAAATCTTTTCAGTTAAGAATAATTTAAATGTATAAATTTTTTTAGAGTTTTAAGAAATATATAAAAGTTCTTACATTTAAATTTTTTTATAAAAAATTCAAATAAACATTCTCTTTCTCTTTTATTTTTTTCTACCTAAAATTAACATTCAACATCTAAAAGTCAACTTAAAGAAGGGACTAAATAAGTTTAAAATAAATAAATAAATGATGACCACAAACGAGCATTAGATGTAGTGATGGAGGCACGAGAAGCGTTGAGGGAAAGAGTTGCTTGTTTGTTTCGTCAATGACACATAGTCCTTTTTTTTTTAATACTTTTTTACTTTGATTTTAGTTTTGTTTTTAAATACATGCAATACACAATATTTCATTTTAGAATGAATTATATAATTTAATAATTATAAAATAAAATTTTATAATTTTATAAATATAAAAATAAGTATCTATGAAAATTTTAAAAGTTTAGTTAATAAGAGAAAGTTAAGTAACAATTTTTGGACAAACTGAGCAGCTCTGTGAATGTTTTACTTTTAAATAATACATTCTTATTTATAATATAAAAGTTGACAAGAGAGGTCGTCTAGCAAAATCAATTTTGTTGATTAAGAAGGAATGTTAGTAATTCTTTATATCAACTTTAATTTTTCCTTCCTTCCCAGGTGAGCATGAATATGATTGATGTTAAACTAATTTAAATTTATTTATAAACTAGATTGAATCCTAAATTAATCTATTTTTTTAAATTAAAATTTAAAACCAGATTTAAATATAGTTTTTGATTAAAATAAACTAAATTTAAAATTAAAATTGGCTCATAACTAATTTTAAATATAGAATTTTAATTTGAAACCTATTTTAAATTTAAATTTATATTTGTCAAAATTGATTTGAAATCCATATTTTAACTTTAAAACTAATTTTAAATTTAAATATTTAGTCAAAATTTAAAGTGAATTTGAACAAGTGGCTTGGGTCTTGATTCCCCCAGCCAAATAAAACCAAAGAGAAGGTTGGAAAAGCATGGATTACTGGTACGCTTTAACAGACAAAAGAAGCTTCTCTATATAATTACTCATCGTTGATTGATGATAAATAATAGTATGATCATACAATGCGGTGGGTGTAATCCATATTTTAACATGCCTCTCACTCCTGGAAATTGGATTTAGATAACTCGATATAATCTAAAACATATATTGGATGATAAATAAGAGTTGCTTTGCATTTTCCAACTTTCAAAATCATGCCATGCATGATAATCATATATTACATTGGATATGAGAATCTTTGCCTGGAAATAACGCTCTAATTTCACGGTTTCTCTTATTTTCTCCTCATTGTTCTGCTTTTCTTTTTAAATTTTTTTCAAATATAAATTTTCATCAATTTCATCTTCATATGAACTTATTTAAACATATTAAACGAATGCATTTGCATTACTGCTTTGCCTTGAGAGAAATTACTCTTTATTCTCAATAGGAGCCGAAGGACATTAGAACTAGCATAAGACAACACACTATTTTATTGATATTAAGCATATGAACCACAACTGAAAAATTACTCTTTTTATTGCTTTTTCGCCGTGACGCACCGCACTAGTAATTAGACCTTCTCCGAGGGCAGTAAAAGCTTTCTTGGGATGTATGACCCTTACGACAACATAGACAGTGAGTTACACGCAAATTATATTATATAAAAAGAAAATACTTTGTAGACATCTATTAGGCTGTCAACGACTTGAGAGAAAGAAATTAAAAAGAGAAGTAATGTGATCAAAAAAGAAAGATAAAAACTGTCAAATAAATGTTGATGCTGCTAGAGTATTTATAAATCAACATGTTTTATATAAAAATAAAAAGGGGTTACCATAGAAGCACACATATGAAATCTTAACAACTAAGAGTGCCAAATGCTAAAAACATACAAGGCTCGAGGAAAAGCTTCATCAGAAAGGTGCCAAAATGGTAAAATAGTTAGCACCTTTTCATGTTTTAGGAATGTCTGGCCTTTTTCAGTCTCTTCCGGGGATCAATCCCTATGTCAGTGATAATTTGAACTTCCATATAATATTTATTTCTTGGTTTGCGTAGCTGTGGATGAAATGAATAATTGCCAGCCAAAACATAAGGAAGAATTAAATCAACAATGTTCTCGTTCCTTGCAAAGGAAGAACCATAAAAAAAAATAAAAAATAAAAGTGCTTTCTTTGAATATTTCCTCTTTCACGTTGTTGGTAGCTACAAAATGGCAGTAAATAAAATCATTAATGGAAGAACAAGGATTTGCACTTCGCAGGAAGAAAAAGTAAATTTGACTAAAATGGTCTATACACACAGCATTAATTCTGTCAACTACCATTAATGTTATAAGTTTCCTGAAAGAATACTACATTGGGGATAGATGTATGCTGATTGCTGAGTTATGATGTACGGTTAAAATATCTCTTGCAAAAGCAGAGACTCTAAAAATAGAGTTTTATTACCTGAAAATCTATATTTAGAAAGTGAAACAAACAGGAAAATTAAACAGGGAACTACACATAGGGAAGAAAAGGAGGTGAAAATATGTGCAAGACCTTGCCAAAATGGAAGAAAGAATCATTTTGATTTGGAGGTGCACCTCGAGGGTATGTAAGTCCCATTCAAGGGGCGGAACTTGAGGTCACAATTCAGACGACACAAGAACTTAACAGAGCCCAAAGGCCCTACCCTCCACTGAGTCCTCGCACCTCCTTTGAAATTAAACTCAATCTCATTTCGTTTCCATGCATCATCCACTTCCTCCATTTGATCTGGATTTAATGGTATAGAAGATGATTGAATAAAATAGTTGAGGTCCTTCGAACTGTTTTTGGGCACCTCAAATGGGTCTGCAACCAACACGGCTAAGTCTTGGCCTTGGTAGCTAAGGTTGAAGGTAATTTTAGAAAAGGTTGCATGAGCCTTGGCATTCCCATTCTTTGCAGTCACAACAATGTTGAGTTGGATTTGGAAAAGACCAGCATAATCATTTTTCAGAAAGTCAAGATGAGCATTAGTGACACTGATGATGGGCATCCTTGGGTGGATCACTATGTAACCAATGAACACTACAATGCCAGCAACAATCACGGCTACGGCTAAGATGGTGCATATAATGGCTACTAGCCACACTAATGGGCGGGTGCCGCCATGTGTACCCAATGCAAATTTTCTCTTCAATTTAGGCATAGTGGTGGCCATAGAGAAACCGCATGAACCAGAGACTAAAACATGCTTCTTGATTCTCTGTCAATTTTTTGTTGTGGGAAGGTGTAAAGGTTTGGCCTTGAGAAGCTTATGCAGTGAGGGAATTAAATTTGAATTCTTTGATTCTATTTGGCTTGAAGGTTTGGTATCTTCCTTTCCTCACTTTTAAGCATTAGATCTAGTCTAGTGCATATATATTTTCTTATATGGACTAAGCTTCTCAACAACTGCGAATCTTAGCCGTTATGTTATTTTAAAAGGTAAAATACGAAACTTGCATTGCTAAATCCTACTCCCTTCCTTTATACTGTGTCATGGCAAATTTGTCCCGTCTATGCAGGTCCGAACTTGCATCAATTTGATACTTGTGAATCTCAATCAATCCTATATGCATCTTATCAGTTATAATTTCATAAAATATACTATTGAGCTGACTTTTTGTTTAAAATTGTATTATGCTCATACACTAAACTCATTACAGCTTTTACTAGAAGAGTTTCTGTATTATATCATTTTCCTAAGTAAAAATTTCACCACTTAATAATGATGTTTGTAATCGTTTGCATTTTATAAATTTAAAATACAAATTCAATAAAATGATTAAGCACAATCACAATCCACACCGAGTTGTACATTTACATGACAGCGATGACTTGAGAACAATCAACAATTTCATAGTACATAATATTGTCCATGACGAATAGTTGAATTATTACAAAGTTTAATTATATACGAACAAAAGACCATAATATAACCCCCTGCCCAGAACAAAAATAAATAAATAATACTTAGCCGATGAACAAGAAATGCAAGCAGGTGGTTAAATATTCCAAGCTAGGAAATGGGTAATCAATCAAACGCCAACGATATAAGCTGTACGTTGTATGAATTCTGTCTACTTTTTTTAATAACAAATATAAATTCGGTTGGGTTTGAATTTCCACGCTGTTAACAGTTGGTAAAACAAGATTAAACAAGCAACCTTATATACTCTTGTAATATACTTCTTATACTCTTGTAATATACTTCATACATTAAATTTCCCGACATTTTGTTTGACGATGCTAACCCATGACTAGTATATTATATACTCTTGTAATATACTTCATACATTAAATTTATATAAATCTTAGAATGCTAATTATGAAAACCGAAAAACAAAAAGTTTCTGCTTCAGATGTGCCAGTTGCAAAACCTCAAACCTATTGTATTACCGTCCAACATTTGAAAGGCATTCAGAGCAATCACAGTTTGCCAGGCATCATATGAGTGGAAATATTTTAATTACATGTTCTGTACAACAAAAAAGGATAGTTGCACATACTATGTGAGCACAATCTAGATCATTCAGAAAAAGCTGCAATGAGACCTAAACTTTATTCTGACTCTGCCATGCAAAAGTTTAGAGAATTAAGAATAAAATTTCATAAAAAATTGGGGATTGAAAACATTTAAAAGCTGTTATTGTAGACACAGAAGTACAGTAATGAAAAAACAATACTATTAAATAAAATAAAAACAATGCCAAGGGACAACCCTGTAAGCTGGAAATAAATCCATTTGAACAGATTATTATTAGAAACCTAATTGACTAAGGCACTCTTTTCATATGAAGTCTTTATGGCATGAATTTGATCAAAAAAACTTATTAGAATAAAGTGAAAAGAGCTTTAGTGATAAGATATTTTTATAAATTCTCTGTAAGCCCTTCTAGATGTCCTCTAAGATAAAATGCAATCTTTTTTTTTTTTAAAGCTTAAAAACTGAATTAACAAAGGCCCTAGAAAATGTATTTCTACAGTATATATGAATGACGGAATCATAAAATGGTATAATCAAAATACATTCCTAAGGTGTAAAACTGATACTGGGAACTAAATAAAATAAAGTAAAACAAATTTAATGTAATAATTATAAAATTAAATTAGAATAACGCATTTGCGTGCTTTGTAAATTTCTCTTAAAGAATATTACATTTCTTAATATTTACAATACAAACCAAATAGGAAAACTTTGGCAAAACATAATTAAGACTTTTGTTACTTACACCTTCGGTTAGCCATCTCAAGTGGTTGGTCAATGGTCAATTGTTTCGGATGACAGTGCAGGTGCTTCACCTTTGCAGTGCAATCTATTAGATAACTAAAGGAATTTAAGGATCATGGAAGCAAGTTAAACAAAAATGAATTAGAAAAGGACACGGAGGGCTGTTGCTTTGGCCTGTCAATCCGAAGCAACACTACTCTTATCTATCAATTCTTAAGGTGTTTTCATTGCTTCCCCGTTACAATCTTTCAACAAATTCCCCGTTTCCTTGGATAGGGGTTTGGGGCTATTGAACTTGCTTTGTCTGCTCTAATTCTCTGACCCTTTGATGTGTTTCCAAATCTCATCTTTTCCCCCTACAACCACCCTTGTTCTTTGTAAACAAAAAATTATAAATCACTGCCTTCTTTCCACGTGTCCAAATGAAAAAATATAAGACAAATGCAACTTCCACTGCCAACAGTCCAGTACAACCATTAACACATCCATCAATGTGGATCACAAGACAACAGAAAATCAAATTAGTATGCAGTGCCAGGTGATACATAACTAAGGGAGGATGTATTTGTTCATGAGAGAAAATTGATATATATAACCTCACTCAAAATATAAACATTGACATGAACATCTGTAAAGCCACAAAGACATCTTAGCCTCCTGCATTGTTGAGCAGGTGTTATACTCAACGTTGTAAATATGAAGAATTTTCAATGCTACAAGTTTTTTAACAAATATTTAAAGGACAAACTAAACAATGATTCAAAGACATAACAAATGGTCCTCAAAGTACATATTATGTTTCAAAATAAGGAAAACCACATGCAATAACTAATGATATACTACTAATATATTGACAACCAATAGTATATATTCATCAAATTCACAATCTTATAGTTGATAAGATGAAGATTTATTAGATATATCAATTCAAATTTTAACCAATTCTCTATATTGAAGAAGTGTTTTAGGAAGTTAAAACACGATATTTATAATGGATTCAAATATCATTTTTAAGTTGTACTCTATTTTTATGATGATAAAAAGTTATACTGCAAAATAACAGAAATGATGCTTGCTTGAGTTATGCTTCAACAATTTGTAATTTTCTCAAAGCATATACTATTTATACAATTTGTCTCCTCATTCACCTAGAATAAAATTCCATTCCTCAAACACTAGCATAAAATGAAAGAACTTTTAATGGAAAGGAACCAACAGAACTTTGCCAGGTTCCCTGTTGATCAAGCCGCGACGACTATGGTAAGAATTGAGAAACAGTCTGCAGAGAAAGAGTGAGAGAGAATAATCCATAATTTTGAATTCAGAAGTGCGTAAGTTCTAAGAGAAAGAGCCGGGGGCTGGGGGTGGGAAAGCAGAGTGTGCTGCAAATGGACATACCACAACTCAACTTCCAGATGACTTCATGAAAACCTTAAATAATGCACATGTTATAAAAATAATGTTTCAGCAATGTGTCTCTTTCCAGAACTGTCAATCTGCTGCAAAAGAGACCCAAAAAAAAAAAAAAACCTTCCAGTGGCATTTACACAAACAAACCATGACCCACTTACAACATTCATAATGCATTTGAAATGTCAATTTATGTGCACCAAACGACCAAAAACAAATAGCAAAACAAAATCTTACCCCCCCCCCCTCCCCACTGGCAGGTACACTACCACTAAGAGAGCTTTATCACTTAACTCTCCAGTTTGAGTCTTAGCTGTGGTCCATCAAACCATGGCTCCACTTACACCACCAGGGCAATGACATCAACATTAGAAGAATAAAATATTATAGAGCATTAGCATGCATTAACGTCAACATAAATAATAAAACGTCTAATGTAGGAACCTGGAACACGGAACTCAATTTGCAGCTTTGTTCAAAGCAAGCATGCATGCATAACATTCATAAAAGGCCCCAAAAGAACTGCTTATAGCACAAAATATGAACATAAAATTGGAGAGAAATTGCAGGAATGACAATCATAAACTGATACCCAAAATTAATGTAAATATATACAGGAAATTTTGCATTCATACTAATCACTTTCTAGAATGATCATCCTATCAAGAATACTTAGCTCAGAAAAACAGCATGCAAGTCAACTAAAATTCATGTACTACTTACTCAAGTAGCACAGTGTGATCAGCCTCAAATTTTAAACTTTTAATATCATAATGTTATCACAAGGAAAGACATGGACAAAATATCATCAAAAGGAAAGGCTACTGTGAAGTAAATATAATGAAACTCAAAACACTGTTTAAAAGGCACAGCTGAGACAGTCAGGAAGAACAAGAAAAATCTGCCTGTCAGCCACCAATGGATGAGATTGAAAAATTTTAAAACATAAATAAAAGAAAATATCTATTAGTTACAGAGGAGGACTGAGAAAGCCTATTGACAAAACCATTAAGAAGGATTTAAATGTCAATAGTCTGTCTATAGATTATGGTGCTGTTTGATTCATGTAACCAACCCCACCTTGTAGAAACAGCCTTGGTTGTTGTTGTATTCACCTAGAATGCAATCTCATTTCTCACACACCAGTAGAGAAAGCAAAAACTTTGTGATGAAAGGGAAGAAACAGTGGTTTCCAGGGTTCTTTGTTTATCAGGCCATGCCTAGAGAAAGAAATGAGATGCAGAAGTCCATGATTTTTTATGCAGGAGTGCCTAAGTTCTAAGCAAAAGAGGGATGTGGGAGGAGCAGTAAGTGCTACAAATGAACATACCCACAATCATCTTCCATAGGACTGGCACAAAAACCATTAATGATGAATGGATTTTAAAAGGAATGTGAGAGCAAGGCATATCCCTCCATTCATAAAATATTTGAAATGTCAACCTAAGTGTATGAAACTGGACAAAAAAAGAAAAAGAAATTAAAGCAAAACCATCCCAGTGGCATGTAAACTACTAAAGGAGCCTTAACATTTAACCCTTTAACTCTTCAATTTGGATCTTCATTGTGATCAATCATACCACGGCAACCAACCAATGACAAGATGATAGACAATAGTGTGAAGCACATGCTTAGCTCACAAAGATAGGGATGACACTTGTGCAGGACAAAGGCAAGGAACAACTCCCTGCTACTCATCCCCAATGTTCCCCCATCCAAGTACCCATTTTTTCTCAAGGTGATTTTTCCCCAATCCCTATTCCCCCATTCTCAATGAATTCTCAACATTGAAAAAAGTTATAATAATAAGTTATCACACCTTATCAAATGATAAGAAATAAAGGTATTTAATAAATTTGTTGTTTTACTAAATTTTAAATTATAAAAAAATAATATATTAAAATATCATACTGTATAAAGGAAAAGACTAAATATACATTTATTTATTAATCAAGGTAGTCAAAATTGACATTTTATTACAGATGAATAAGTGTAGTTAAGATCATAAAACACAACCACAACCCGGCTTGCAAAATTCTACAAAATTCAAATATATATATATATATATATATATATATACACACACACACACACATATATATATATATGTATGTATATATATATATATAACATGTTAACGCAATGATCCCATAGCAATCAATCCTGGATAGCAGCGCTAAGTGGCAATGCCAAGAATGCTATAGCGGAATAGCAAAAGTGGGATAATCGCTATTCTGAAAATTTAAAAAATATACCATATATAGGTTATGCTACACATATATATGCTGAAGATTTCAAATGTCAATCATTTGGAGGGGTTCTCAGAAGTCAAAACTCAAAACAGAACAAAGAAACAAAAAGAATAAAACAGAATGGTCTCACCAGAAATAACCCCAAACACATATGATCTCGCAGAAAATATGTGGGTCTTGCTGGAAATGAAGAAGATGACTAGAACTTGGCCGGATATAGTGAGCAAAGTACCTAATGCAAATGGGTCACTGTTGAACTTGGCTGGAAAAGGACATCAGCCACTGTGAAGCTTGTTTGACAAAAAAAGGTGATTAAGATGGGGAATGGGAACACTTAGGGTTCAAGAGCGTTGAGTTTGAATGATACAATGACATGCAGAAATTGACAATATAAAAGAGGAGCAAAATCCCAAATTGTCCCCCTTAAAAGCCTTCTAATGTTAAGAAAACAAGGGTAAATTTGACATTTCTGTTGTGCATCAAATAGCAGCCGCAACAGCCACGATTTGCACCACTCCAGTCACTACACAAAGCCATGATGCTATGCACTCTGCGTCCTGTTAGGGAGCTGCAACGCCCCGCTACACTGCAATAGTGCCTCATTGCATGCTAGTGACAGATATGGATGATCCTACCCAATCCCACTAGATTGCAATCCAGACCATTATCAAGATCATATAGGCTGCCACAAAGCATAGAATTGTGTGATCTTACGAGTAATATCACAATTTTAACTTTGTTTTTAATATGTGTATACAAATTAAGGATAAATATCTAGGGACTTTGTTGGGTGAGGGGTATGCTCCCCATCCTTGTACCTAAATATGCTTCAAAGGATTTCTTGTCCCGCCTCCCTGTCCTTACAGGTAAAAATCCCTAAACTCAAGACCCCAAATAGGACAATTCCTACGAGGAATTCCCAGATGACTGGAAAAACTGCCAATCCTACACATTGATAATAAAATTTGCATGTAGGATTATAGAACAAGGAAACTCAATTCGTGAATTTGTTCTAAGATGCATAACTTTCACAAAAAGGGCCAAAAAGAATTGCCTGTACCACAAAATGTGAACCAAGAATTGCAGAGATGTTGCCAGGATCACAATCATGAACTCAATCAAATGCAAATATTTACAAAAAAACATTGCAGTCATACTAATTGTTTTATATTATGACCATTCTGTCGTGAATGCATAACTCAAAAAACCCATGTGCAAATATACTACAAAGTTCATATCGAGTTGCAGTGAGACTAGTCTAGAAAATGATAATATAAACATATAATACAAGGAGAAGAAAAAGAATCAGACAAGAAACAAACTACTGGGATAAAAGACTACCAAAAGGAAAGGCTAGGACAAAGGGAAATTGATGATACTTGTGGAAAACTATTTGAAACCTGCCTGTCTTTGACAACTAAGGTTGAGTACACAAAAAATTTAACACATAAAGAAAAGCAAATATTTTCATATTACAACTTGACATGATCTTTCCACCTTCTACAAAGACTATCATATCTGTCACTTGCACTTCTACCTTCTTTATAGAAGGCATCCTTCAATGTGATCATTGTAGATTCATATATTTTAATCCTCCTATCGAGCATATCCTCAGCAAACCTTTTCACCTCTGTGAATCGGCTCAAGTTACAAAGCCCAATGAGCAACGCATTCGCACTCCCATCAAGTGGCTTGACATGATTTTCTACCGCACAACTCCAAATCTCAAGGGCAGTTTCAGGGTCATCACAATCAAACAACATTGCAATGGCCGCAGCACAGTTAGCGCCAGTGGGCGGCCACTCGTTCTTGACCATCTCGGTGAAGAACCTTTCGGTCTCACGGACCTTTTTGTTCTTCACCAAGCACTCAAAAACCATGTTGTAAGTCAACGAGTCAGGAAACGCACCAAGCAAAACCATCTCATCAAGCAGCCTGAACGCGCGATCAATCTCGCCATTGTTGCAAAGCAACCCAATCATGGCATTGCACATTATGAAATTAGGCACTAATCCACCCCCCACCACCGCTTCCCACACGGGAATGGCGTGAACGGCGTCGTTTTGCTTCACAAAAATATCAAGAGCATTGGTAAAGAATTTCAAACCTGGAATGCAGTCATGGTCCTTCATAACCTGAAGGAACCTAACAACCTCATCCATCTGGGCGGCGCGTACGAGAGTCATCAAGAAAGCATCATAAGCAGGCACATTCTCCTTGCTCCAACCAACACGAATTACCATTTCCCCAAACGTGGTCTTCGCCTTCGCCGCATTCCCTTCCTTCTCCCATCCTTCGAGCAAAATCGCGAAGGTGTCACCGTCGGGTGCAACCTTCGCTTTGATCCTTTCGAAGAATTCGAGACCAACGGAGGTTTGATTCTCCTCGCTGCAAATTGCGCTGAGGAGTGAGTTAACGGCGACCACGTCCTGCTTAACGCCGTACCTGTCCATGACGTCGAAGCTCATAACGGCCTCGTTAAACCTTCCGGCGGTGCAGTAACTCTGGAAAATGGAAGCGAAAGTGGAGAGAGAAAGCGTGGCTTCCTGTTTCATGGACCTAACGGCGTCCCACATGGGCTCGAAAAGCTGGTTTTTACCCAGCAAATCGACCATCAAGTTCCACGCGTGGGGCGTGTGCTGTTTTTTGACGCGCCCGACCCAGCGAAAGAACTTGAGGGCCGAAGATGGGTAATTGTAAGAGAGCCTCAGGACCTCATGGACGCACTCATCCGAAGGGTGGATACCCGAGGAGGAGAGTGCGGCTTCGATGTCCTGAGGAGAGGTTCGGGTTAGGATGTCGCACAGGGTTCGTGCTGTGGAGGACACGTTCGCGGTGTCCAAGTGGGAGGGGAATTGGTTCGGTTGGTGCGGTTTGGGAATTTGGGTTGGTTGTTGTTTGTTAGGGTTCTTCAGTGGCTTTGTCCTATTGGGGTTTTCGGCCACTGCCTCCATTTTATGATTCTAAAATGAATGGGGCATCAAGAGAGGTTTTATCGAATGCTATATCTATAAGAAGTGTTGGAATTGAAAAGGATGACAAAAATAATGGGATTTTGGAGTTTGCTTGTAAAAGGGGTACTGGCGTTGGTTCAGTGCAGATGCAGTGACTCGCGGATTGGAATTTGCAGAGGTTAGAGAGAAGCAGAGAGTAAGGTAAGAGATTTTGTTTGGCGAGTTTGTTTTTGGTCAAAATTATGCATTCTAATACTTAATGGGACTTTTTTGTGGTGTGGCCCAAAGTAGTTGGACCATTAACAAAAATGTCCTTCTGTAGGCGGGAAGAGATAATTCATAAAAAATGCAATATAACGACACACAAAAACTGCAATATTTTTAAGTATTCATCATTTTTTCATTAGTTTAGTATACAAAACTAACATGGGTATATGAGCGATTTTAGTTCTTTTATTTTTTTTATTAACCAAGTTTTAGTGCCTTTGTCAATCTTTATTTATCAATCTTTATTTATGAAAAATACTTGAATTCTCAGTACGAACAGTGAAATTTGACTAAATCTTAAGTGTGATGGATAAAAAATAATAATTAGATTTGATTTTAATTAGGTGGGTTTAAATGGATAAAAAAAAGTTTTAATACTCAAAATTGATTAAAATGTTAGTTTTTATTCTTATAATTTTTTTAAATTAACGAGTCTTTTTCTTACGATAGAAGAGAGTAAATAACACATCTTTCAATTTAATAAAAAAGAGGTAAAAGAAAGACACAGAACAATTTTTAAAAAATTATTAAAAAGAATCTTAAGTTAAATAATATATTAAACCATTTTATTTTTTACCAAATTCAATTTGGGAGTTCTAATGTTTAAATTAAGCGTTCCAACATTCAAAGCTCTAGCAATTGAAGGCTTATGTATATTCTAACACTAGGCATCAACTACTACAATGTTGAATAACGATTTTTACGCATTTCAGTGCCCAATATAATTTTAAAATTTATAAATAGATGTCATGATATCCTATATACAATAGAGTTAGGCATTTTTTTTTATAATTTTTATATTTTCGTTTAAGAATTTTTCCTGGATTTGAATTTTCTTTCTTAGAGGTTTGAGAAACTTCTTTGTGTCTTTCCAAACTCTAGACTTATAGTTTATCACCATTATGTCGGTGTAATGTTTGTGAATTGTGTTTTGTTGGACAATACACTTAATAAAAGAATTTTAAAATAAGTTCTCGAAATATCATTATATAAAGATTAATTCTAAATATAAAGAATTTCATAATTTAATTGTTTGAACATAAATACTACTCTCTCCTGTCTTTTTTATAAGAAACAAAATAGAGCATTTCTTTGATCCTTATTATAAGAAACAAATGATAGATTTAAAAAGCATTAATTGTTAAATTTCTTTCATACCCTTCTTTTATTAGTATTAATTGTATAAATTATTAACTACAACATTTAATATCATAGGTATTTTTGGAATAAAGTTCATATTTATGAAAAACATAAGTGACTTAATTACTTTCCTTGGTCTTGGAGATTTAGCCTTTTGTTTCTTATAAAAAGGACCGGAAGTAGTATAAAATTAAATAAAACAAAGATTCAAATATGAAAGTAATTAAAACAAATTAAAACATCACAACCTCTTACAATAAACTAAGCGAGAAGAACCTAGGGCATATGGTTTTACCTTTACACTTCTCTATGTTTACTTTTAAAATAATTCTAATTATGATCTCCTTATGATTATCAACCACTCATACTAAATTTATTAATACTTAATGTTCATGCAATGTTAACAATATTTTTCTTAAGTTATTACTCTCAATAATCATGCAAGGTAAAAGGAAGAGAAAACATAAAGAGCCTACGAGTTGTTAATTTAATAACAATTTAAAGAGAAGAACTAAATTTGGTCCACCTAATCCTTTGTCTCGTTTTATTTACCCTATATATTCATTAACTATATGTAGTATGATCGCCTATAATATAATTAATTATGATAATTTAACAGTTGTCAATGTTGGACACAAATATAGCGCAATAGGATAAACATTAATTAAGAAAGAAAACATGAAACTAACATTAATAACAAAGATCCTATAGAATCATGCAAAAGATTCCCTATAGTTATAGTTATGGATTTAGCTATACATAATATAGTAGAAAATAAAAACAATAATAAATCAATCAATAGTTATTCAAAAAGTAAATACAAAATAGAGAAGTCTCTAATAGAGATGAGACGAAAAAAACTCTTGATCCTAAGACACACTTCTAAAGTATTTAAAGCTTTCAAAAGAATAAATTCAAGACTTTAAAGTAATAAATAAACTTAAATTTACATCTAACAAGTTATTTGGTTCATATTATATACATATAAGTTCAGAATATCATTAAGAACATCTCCAAATTATTTATTACAACCAAAATTCACCAAAACATTATAAATTCTAAAATTTGACATTAAGGAAATATTTACATAACTTGGTCAACATGAAATGTAATTAGAATAAAATATTATGATTTCTCAAATTGTTCTAGTTCCTACAAAGCAGTCTTCTTTCAAATACCACTAGATTATGATCCTAGAACTTATCTCTTCACTTTCATTACCTGAAAATATTAGTAAGGGTGAATATCTCTCATCCCACTAAATCTTTTTATTTGACATAAAATTTATATAGTACAAAAAATATTGGCTAACATATTTCTAACACACATCAATTAACCATAACACTCAAAAACACACAAATCATCATCAGAGCAGAGCACACATCCAACAAATCAATCATTTTTGTACTTATTTATGACATAAATTTTCTACACTAATCTGTATATCATACATGTATTCTATCATATCAATTAATATATCACAATACATGTATCTTAATCGCACCCGTCGGTGTATTACAACACATATTGTAACAGCATTGATCGATATGTTACAATACACATATTATAACCTTATAATCTCTATACTACTTCATGTTTATCGCAATTTCACATTCATTACACTTTTATATTCATTGCCTCTAAGATCCCTTGAGGACTCATAGTATAGATAGATGCTGGTTAGCCATTGCAATACAAATACACACCTGTGCCGACCCAGCTCCTTTTACCAAAGGTGTAGTCAAGGGTTTAGGTTAGGAAATAAGTGTGAGGCTTGTGGTGTCTTTTCTCTCTATTTTCATTAATATTTGCGTAATCATGGAAAGACATCCACCATCCTCAGTTCTCCCAAATTTCTCAATCACCCCACCCCGTCTTCCACACCCCTGTGTATCTCTATGACTATGTATACTTATTTCATTTCTCTTTCTCTTTCTCAACATTTTTCATTTTATTTTAATTCTTCTCTATGTCCTTCTCATAGATCAACATGTCATAATACGTGAGTTTTGTAACACTCAGTATTTTTAAGTATTAATTAAAGAATTATGTTATAATAAGTGTGATTGGAATATATTTAGATGTAGTTTAAAATTATTTAAAAATTAAAAAAAAGTAAATAGTAAGTCAGTCGTGAACAGTGATTTTGACGTGAACAGTAAAATATTGTAAACAGTGATTCCGACGATGAATAGTAAGTCACGCGTGAACAGTACCCAAAAATTTTTTTTTCTGACATTTTGTCTGTAAATAAGGAACCTTGCATGAAATCTTCATTCTTCACACTTCTTAAAGGTTCTAGAGAGTTCTAAAGTCATATACTACCATTTTCTCTCCTCCTAAACTTGGATTTCTCTTCCATGTATTTAGGATGAAATTCATGTGGGGAGCCTCTTCATTGTTGATTTCGTGTGTGGGTCTTCAATCTGAGGTAAGGGAGGACTCTTGCCTATCTCTTGCATCCTTAAATTCGTTATTTTGCTATGTATTGTAATGTGGATGGTTTGGAATGTGAGTGTTTTGATGGAATTGATTGATTGTAATGAGATTATGTAGAGTATAATGTAATGGATGTTGAATGGTGTGTAGGATGGATATGAACTGTGTTGGAAATGTTGTGTGTATGGAACGTGAAATGAGTGAATGTGGGCATATATGCCGTGTGTGAACATGAATACTATATGTAATTGAAAATATGGCTGGAAATGTACGTAAATGGCATGTTAAATGCAGTTGTGAATGTGTTGGAAGTTATAAATGGTTTAGCGATACACTGGGGTGTGGAAGATGGTGGCGGTAAAATACCTTGGGAAAAAGAGAGTAGTGGTGACACCAACAGTGAGCGTGGGTGTACCATGGACCACACACTTTTCTCCTGACTCAGCCTTTGACTAACACCTTTGCGAAGGGGCTCATGACCGCACACGTTGTATCTGTGAGGCGAGGGCTAATCGGTGACTATTCATGGTGTGAAACTGTGATCACAATGCCACAATGAGCGTGGCTGCGTGTAGTGAGTGCACGTGTGTGTGAAATATTTGTTGGTGTAGTAAGTGCACCTATCTATAAATTGAAATGGAATATTGAAATATATTACTTATGACTGCTGAGGTTCGGTTTGAAATATGTTAGAAAATGTGTGGAATGGGTAAGGTGAGACTCTATGTTTGTTTGTATGTGTGTGATTGTATAGAATACTCACCCTTATATTTATTTTTCAGGTGACTAAAACGATCAGCACCGAGCTCAGTGAAGTGATGGATGATATTGCTATAGGGCTTAGATTGGTTATTTTGAAAATATGATGTAATTAAATTAGTCCTGTAGCAGTTATTTGATATAAATTTATAAACCCTTCTTATTTTGGAACACTTTGATGAAAGTATGTGTTGGAAATTGTTTAAATAAAATTTTTTATTAGTCCTATTTTTAAAAGTTATTTATTAAAATTAAGGTGTTACATAGCTCACTGAAGCTTTCTTGTTGTAGCAAGAAAAGTGGATAAGATTGTCTTAGCTGTAGTGAGAAATGTTGTTGTAGCAAAGATCTCTCGATGTAGCGAAAAGTGCATAAAACAAAATACAATTTTGTCTAATATTTTTTATGTAGCGAGAAATGAGTCGCTGTAGCGAGAATATAGCGAATTTAAGGGGTATTTAAGAGTTTTCTTGCATGAAAATTCATTTCTTACTCCATTCTCACGTCCAAATTTTGTTTCTCTGAATTCTCTCTACAATTTCTCTGATAAAATCCTCTCAAACACTAATTTCTTCCCAAATTTGTGATTACA